AAAATCTTTGAAACAATTAGGTCGTATTTTAGAACAACATAAAGGTACATTACATTTTATGCACCATAATTGACTTTAAGATATTGCGCTAGTTTTTTTTTTTTTGTTATTTTTTTTTTTTGCTATTTTTTTCATCTTGTTTTCTTAAATGTTGACAATAAATACATGATTCTCTTTTGTTTCTCCATTCTACCAAGCGATTTTCTGGTAAAAAACGAGATAAAGGTAGCTCAAAATTGTCTGTAACATAAGCAACTCACTTATTTTTTGATGATTCAGCAGAAAATACATTATTTGGTCTTTTTCTAGTTATTTTTTTAGTCGTAATTTTTAGATTTTCTTGAATTAAATCCTATGCCAAAGCAATTCTAAAGTCTTTGCTTGATATATTCGTATTAGAAATCTTGCAATAAAGCAAAAAACAATTAACAAGTGTAGTATCTAAAAGCCAAAAAAATAATGGAAACCATGTATGATGTGCAGTTAATTGACAATTATAATAGCTTCTAAGTTGGTCTGCAATATCTACTCCTTTCATATAATGATTATAATCATCAATTAGTTTTGGAATTTTTAATTCTTTTCTTACATTATCACCAAAAACCTGATGAACTTTTCTAGCATTTGTACTTGTAATATGTGGACAATGATGATTATGAGTAATTTTCCATTCATCACCAATAATTTGGTGAATAGTAGTAAGTAAATAAACTGGACTATTATCAATCTATAAAACTACTAATACATTATCAACTACCATGGCAGAAAGAGTATCCCAATCTAAGACTAAAGGATTTTCAAGTTTTAATATTTTAGGAAATTTAGATGAATTGGTACGTACAGTACTACATGCTCCTAAATTATTAGTGCGCAAAAAATTAAAAAGTGGAATACTGGTGAAATAATTATCCATATATATTTGAAAGTTCTTTCTACGCAGAAGTTGCTTAGCTAAATGCCAAACTAAACAGCCTGTATCATTAATACTATTAATATGTTCTAATTCACTATTTTTTTCAACCCTTGAATAAAATACAAATGTCTATATATAACCAGCATCACAAAGGGAAAAAATTTTATATCCTTCTGGCGTTGGTTTGTTTTTTATTTTAAATGTATACATGCTATGATCAGAAAACTGAACTATCATTTCATCAATAGAAACTCGTGTACTAGAAGTATATAATTTTTTAAATATTTTCTGAAGATTTGAAGCCAATGGTTCGATTTTTGAATACCAATAAGATTTAGGTTCAGTTGGATTAGAAATATGAAGAAATCTCTTAATTTGTTGGAATTGATACAATGACATAAATTGTTTAATATTATGAACTGCCATCTTTTCGTTAGAGTTCCATAAATCCTCAACTGCATAAATTTTGTGAACACCCATATATATAACTAATGCAATTCACACTTTTAACTCCTTTAAAGTTAATGGAACCCACACACGTCCTCCTTCATAACTCTTAATTTGCTCATACTTGTTTGTATTTTCGACAATTATTTGTAATTGTTTATCACTAAAACATAATCGAAATAGTACAATTGGACTAATGGTACCTATTTGCATTTCATGTGGTAGTGTTGAATAACCATGATGATTAGAAAAGGTATGTAATGGCTCAAATTCAGGTAATTCTGGAAGGTTTGGTTTATTTTCAGCTTTATGACTAATTGCCTTTTTTTTTCTCTTTTTATCTGCTTTACTTGCTTCACCCATATCATCATCTATTTCATTCATTATGCCTGATTTACTGGTTTCATTTAACCCACCTACCCAGCCACCCATCCTCCCACCCCTTCAGCCTTTTTTACTTTTTTCACGAGTTGCTCTAGTGTTTATTTCATTAATTCCTTCTTTGCTCTCCTCAATAATTTCAATATTGGAAGCTCTTTCACCAAAATCACTAATTTTAATTGTTTGGTCTACAAGCATATTTTCGTGATAACACTCAAAGATTGCCAAGTACTTTGAGTCAGACGCATTGTTGTTAGAAACATTATCATCAGTAATGTATGACATTTTTTTTTTTTCTTTTAAATTATACTTTTATTTATATTAAAAAAAAATTTTTTTTTAATATATCGATATTTAATTTAAATGGCACTTCAAATGTTAGAGGTTTGTTGAACTTTACTGTTGGTACTAACAGCCAAGAGACTTTCTAGAACAATTGCTGTTGTGTATATGTACAATGTGGTACAAGATACTGGGGGTCTTTTATATAATAAAATTTTCCGGTATTCCAGAAAATTTTTTGGTAATTTAATTTTGAGGCAAATTTGCTCTGAATACAGACTAAGGAATAAAAGAATATATAATTGTTGTATGAAGTCCTGTCATTACTTTTCAGATTAAATATTTAATCATTGCATTATTTTTATTTTGTCTAGCACAATTATCAGCATGTATAATTAAATGTTTT